CCCGGTCCAGTGGCCCCCCCCCCCCGGGACACTCAGGCAGCGTCAGCGGCTTTTGCTTTATTTCCCTCAAGAGCAGCACAAGTGCCAGGGCGGACACGGGCCCGTGTGTGTCTGTGTCCCCCCCCATCCTGCCGCCTCCCCGAGCACCCTCAGGGCTTCTTCATGGTGCTCTCGATGAACGACTCCAGCACAAAGATGGTCTCGTCCACCTGGTTCTCGCTGGCGTCAATCCTGGGCGGCAGAGGGAGGGGTGGGAGTGCCTGGGAAGGCCAACAAGGGGGTCCCCCAGCCTGCTGTCCCCCCACCCCAGGCCCCAGTCCTCCCCTCCCGCCGGTGCTCACTTGTTGACGTTGCGTTTGAGGTTCTCCAGCTGCTGACGCTCTGGGACAGTGATCATCTCCTCAATCTCCTGCAGCTGCGCGTCCTCGGCGCCAGTGGCCTGCATGGATGCCAAGATGGCTTCCACCCGCTGGGACTTCTCCAGCAGCCTCCTAGAGGGGAGGGGGGTGATGGACAAGAAAATGGTGGCTTCAGACCCCCCCCACCCTGGCCAAATCCACCACCCCCTCCCCGCGATGCCTAATCACCAGCGCTCACTTGTTCTCCTTGGTCTCATATTGACGCCGTTCAATCAGGTTGGCCACACTCTGGGAAGAGGAAAGAGAAACGGGGGCAGGGTGAGCCTCCACCCCACACGCCATGGGGGGGGGCACGGTGGGGAGGAGATACCCGTGCTCCGACAGCAGAACTAAAATGGGTGGGGAAATGTCGGGGTGGCCTAACAGTTGCCCTCGCTCATGTGTGGTGGTGGAGGAGAACCATGCGTGGTGGTGGTGGTGGTGGAGAACCACACACAGTGGTGGTGGAGAGCTACGCATGGTGGTGGTGGTGGACAACCATGCGTGGTGGTGGAGAACCATGCGTGGTGGTGGTGGAGAGCCACTGGGCTCTGCCACCCGGAGCAGGAGCATGCTTGGGGGGCCTGGATTTCTCCCCCTGCTTGGAAATATTTGTGCGGATGGAGGCCATGTGGGGACCCGACAGGGATCAGGCTGTTGCCACTGGCTTTGGGGACGGGCAGACCAAGCAGAACCACCGGCAGGTCTGCGGGAGCGTCCATGTCGGTGACTGGGATTTACCTTGTAGCATCTGTGCAGCAACATCCGTGCGGAGGACAGGATGTTCACGGTGTAGAGGTAGAAGGTGCGGGATGGCGCATGGTCAGGAGTCTTGGGAATCTCCTACCGGTGGGCAAGAGAAAGGGGGAGGACTTCACCATGCAGCACGTCCCTGCGGTGAGCTACATGGGGTTGGGGACTGAGCCGGGGTTTTGCTGGGGTCCCGTGCAGGGCGCTGTGTCCCTTGCTCACAGGAGCGAGGCTTGGAAATGCCTGTCACCTGGAGAGTCATTTTGTGAGAAGCAGGAGAGCAACATCCGCTCTCACTTGGGGAAGTCTCTGAGATCTCAGAGGCCTCGACATCCATTGCTCTCCAGCCCCCAAACCTCGTTCTTTGTCCACGCGCCCCTTGCATTAGCTTCACTCCGGTGACAGGGTGGGCACGCTCACCTGCAGGGACACAACATTCTCCGACAGCATTTTGTAGAGCATGTCCTTGGCTTCCTTGGCTGGGATCATGGCAAAATCCTCCACTTGCTTCTGCTCCAAATGCTTCTTTCGCAGGAGCAAGCGGAATATCCTGGCACAGCGGGAACCAAATCTGAGTGGGAGAGGAAAATAAATCAGTGGATGAAAGCGAGAAAGGGTCAAGAAATCTTCAAATCGCTCTTCACCTCTCCTCCACGATGGACTCCAGGGTTGCCGTTGCCAGAGACGCCAGGGCCTTGTGAAGATCTGTACAAGATCGAGGTCAAGAGATAACACCAGTGCTTGGGAATTGCTTTATGCACCAGAAAACGCTGGGGCAGGTAGTTTACCCACAAAGGATACTGACAGTGTACATGCCCCCGCCGCTGTCCCCGGATTTACCCACAAACTCGAGCTACAAGAAAAGAAAAAAAAAAAAGTTCAGTACATCCCAAAGTAATAAAAATACTGATTTTCTTAAAATCTTGATTGTAAAAAGTACTACATAGATTTTATAAAAAAAAAAAAATCTGTGATCTTGACAGCTTAAGAACATCAACCATATTTTTTTAACACTTTCAGCATCTTTTAAATGTCAGTAAAAACTGCTTTTCCCTTGGTCTGAGATCTCCCCAGCACGTGGCTAAAGGGAGGCAGCAAGTGGCACAGACTTGGGGTGCAGGGAGCTTGGCGAGGAGCCGCCATTGAGCGGCATTTAATTTCTTTACGCAACTGAGTTCTCGCATTTGGGCAGTAAAAATAATCACACGTTTCTTACCGGGTCGTCTGCTAACAGGGTGAGATACTGGTCCAAAACTTGCTTCACAATGTTGTATCCGGCTGGAAGAGATCTGAATATCTGCAGGAGGAAGAACAGGCAGAATATAAATGGGAGTAAAATGGAATAAGGAGCTTGCCTAAATCTGCAGGTGCTTTAGAGACTTTTCCTGCCTGATCCAAACCCGGTGCCAGAGCCATGCCAGTGGAGAAAGGCCTCGGCTACACCCTGACTTCTCAGGAGCAGGAACCGACCTCATTGGAAGAGAGCGGCTGGGTGTACGGTGCGCTGGAGGACGTGGTGACTTCGCTCATCCGCAGCATCGTCCGCACTATTTCGCTGCTGGTCTGGTTTTGGGGAAGGAAACGGCTCTTGGTGTAGGAGAACCTCTGTTCTGGGCTCTTCCCCCAGCAGCAATTGAATGTGGGCCACCCCTGCCTGCCCCAGTGCAGGGTTTAAAACCTCCCCACCATAACCACAACCATCAAGCTCGCCCCAACATGGAGAGTGATTGCAGGAGGTTCTGAGCACATCCACGAACCTGATCCATGCGGTTGGCCACGGCACTGACGATCCCCTGGTCTCGAAAATGCTGGTGGAACCGGTCAATGTTGACTTGCCAGTAAATGCCATCATCGGGCGGAGGCTGTGGGGGAACAGTGAGAGAGAGAGGAGCCACAAAAACTGAGGGAGAGGGGCCACAAAACTGCTCGTTTGGTTTCCCCAGAAGAATGTGTTTGGGAAGATGCTGGATCCCTTCAGCCTGTAAGCTCAGAAGAGGAGGAAGGAGCTCAACCCTTGGCAGGACAGCGACAGAGGCGCATCCCCAGCAAAGGTTACATGTGGGAAACAGGCAGCGTCCTGCCCAACAGGCAGCTGCCTCCACCCTTCCCACGTGCTGCAGACCCAGCTCTGATTTACAGCCCCGGAGAGCTGAGGACGACATTGCTTCAGCATTCCCAGTACCTCTGAGCTTTCTCCATCTTGCTTCTGCTTTTTAGCCTTGTGTTCACCGTTTTCTTCCTCATCGCATGATCGTCTCCGCTTCCCTTTCCCTGTCAAACACAGAAGATGGCATTTCCTTTTAAAAACTATTGTTATGGTCTCAGGTGAACAGCGTGTGGCTGAGCGCTCCCCAAACACCCCACTAACCATCTGGTAGCACCCAGAGTTACTCCGAGGGCCTTCTTACCTATGAGGTTCAGCCTGGGCACGACATACATGTCCTTCTCATTGATCACCAATATGGGCGCAGGGGGAGGGGGCGCATCGGGGGTCTCGGGGGTTTCGGGGATCAGCGGGCACCTCTGTACAAAGTGCGTGTCTGCCAGGCGCACAAATGTGTTGGAGACATCAGTGTAATCCATGGTCTTCCCGTCTAGGCCGGAGGAGAGAGACAGCAGTGTCAAGCTCTGCCACCCCCTGTTCCTGCAGTTCCAGAGGACAAGGTAATGCTGTGGTCCTCAAACAGGCTACTTGGAGGCCAGTTTGGGGTGGGGGGCTCCATTTATAACTCCTCTGGCAGTGAGGCCACTTTGGGTGGCTCCTTCTCCAAGTTCCTGGCCAGCTTTCCGATATAATGCAGCCCAGAGAGCCTCTGGTACCACATTCACCGAGCAAAACTGGCCTCCGGTAGCCACTGCACCTCCTCCTGCTCCTGGATCCCTTTTTTTTTTAAGGAGAGAAGCTTCTCACCTTCCATTGTTTCAGTCAGCCTGTCTGCCACCTTCCTCACCACTGCGCTCATTGTCATTTTGCCGTTGAGAAGCAGCTCCTCCACGATGAGCTCGCCCGTGTCATTGTAGAGGGTCTTGGCAGTGTAGATGTAACGCGGGTAGCGGAGGATCCTCAGGACCCGCTTGCACTGGGCCTCATACTCCACGAAACCTCGCTTCTGCAGCTGGTATGTCACCAAGTTGTGTTGGATGAGGACACAAAGGGCTTTCTTAACCTGCCCGAGGCAGAGCAGGGCTTGGTTAGGTGACAGAGAAGCCCATGCTGTGCTCACTCCGCTGCACACCAGTCGCGGAGCATTTCCTCCCTGTGCAGCCACCCTTTTCCCTCCACTGTGGTCCTCCCTGGTGCTGAGCTGCCAGTGTTTGTGTCACCGTTTTGTCCCCTGTGCATCATCCCCATTGCTCTGGACTCTGTTCCCTGCCTTTACTCCCTACGGAGAAGTCAGAGTTACTCTCCTCCTTCCCAGACCACTTTTTCAGTGAGGTAACGAACCACCTCTCCCGCTTAAGAAAACCTGCCTGATTTTTATTTTTTTTAATAAGCAGCAAAGCGCTCATTTGTCCTTCTCAAGGTTTTTCTACCAGTTTCTCCTTCAGGAGCAGCAGCGGTGGGGACTGACAGCTCGGGCTGGTATCAGAGCGGTCCAGGCTGTGTTATCTAACACCTCCAATCACACCCAGGCTAAAGCCGACACAGGCGGGTTTAAGACGTACCTGATCCAGCAACAGCCCTGTGTCATTGACGATCATCCGCAGTGGCTGGGTGCCCGTCCTGATAAGATAAGTCCCTATCTTCTCCACGATCTCCCCAAAATGTTCTTGCAGCAGGAGGGAACACAGCTTTATTTCCGCCTGAGTCATCTCGACGGCAGATTAAAACAGCCGGCAGTGCTGTTGAAGAGTGCTGATGTTATTATGACTGTTATGGGGGGACGGGAGGATGGGGGCCATGCTGCTGCCACCCAAGGAAACCCATCTGCGCTCCGTCCCAAAATGGATGTGCGGTGGGAGACCAAGTCTTGAGTGAAACCAGCCCCTGGTGCTGTAGTGGGGGTGAGACAGATTGGGGACAGACACTCTGGCACATGGCTGGTCCCTGTGTCCTCTTCCAGGGGATGACAGCCTTGTCAAAGGCGGCCTGGGACCATGTGTCTCCACCGTCCCAAGGGGCACCCATGTCAGATGTGTCGGGATCCCTGTGTCCCCTCCCAGGGGATGGCAGCCCTGTCACAGGGGTCCCTGGGTCCCTTCCCAGGGGATAGCAGCCCTGTCAGAGGTGTCCCTATGTCTTCTCCCAGGGGGGATGGCAGCCGTGTCTGAGGGGGCCTAGATCCATAGGTTCTCCTCCCAAAGGCCAGCCATGTCAGAGGGGTCCCTTGTGTCCCCCTCCCAGGTGAGATGGCCCCCACAGAGGGCTGGGGTCCTGTCAGAAGGGTCAGGGTCCCTGTGTCCCCTCCCGGGGAACACCAGCCCAGTCGAAGGGGACCCGTCAGGGTCTCACTCACCCAGGCCCGGCCTAGGCCCATGCAGCCACCATGGCAACTGGCACTTCCGGTTCCCGCCCGCTATTTCCGGTCGCGCTCGACGACGCTACGCCCCGTTGGCCGCTCTGGAGGACCGGGCCAGGGGATGTTCTGCCGTGCCGTCTTGTCGGGCCGAGGTGACGCTCTACCCACACGAGCGCGCTTGCTTCGGCCCGGAGCAGACGAGCGAGCCGGAAGCTTAAAGGCTAGCGGGTTATTCCGCCGACGCTCTACCCGGTGGGGCCGCGGCCTCGCTGCCTCGGCGGAGGACTGACGGCAGGGAGGCGGTGGAGGCGGGGGAGAGAGAAGATGGCGGAGGCCTCGGCGGCGGCGGCGGCCACCGTGTCCCAGCACCGCTTCTTCTGCCATAGCTGCAAGGGGGAGGTCAGCCCCAAGCTGCCGGTAAGCGCCGGGGGTTGGGGCCGCGGTGTGTGTGTGTGTGTGTGTGGGGAGGCCGACGCCTCTCAGCGCCGCGGTCCCCCCCCCC